TCTCCCCTCGTGCATAACGGTGGAGCTTCGTGAGGCACAGGATGCGTTCGTGCTGTTCCGCTCGCGTTTGATGCAACGCCCACACGTTGCATGTGCCAGGGTCAGCTTTCCTCTGGGAGCAGACGCGTAGTGCTGCCTTTGCCCCAGTGCCCAGTGCATGCATGCGCATGCTATTCATGGCACTGTCGTGCCGACGTGAAGTCGTGTTACTATAGGCAGGGCTCGAAAATTCAGACGGCATCTTCGAAACGAGTTGCTCGCACTCGCCGTCGCCGTCGGAAGCCGAAAAAAACGCAGATGAGTTCGGTGTTTCAGTCAGCGGCCTTAGTACCCAGGATTGCGCCTTCCTGGCACAGATGACTTAGACAGGAGCTGCTGCTGCTAATGTTGAAGCAGGGCTCGGAAAGGCAATCGTAACACCGCTCTGCACTCACACGCGCTGAGGCGCTCGATGCTTTGCGTTTTTTCACACTGCGCGCTCACAGAGTCCGATGGCTCAGGTTGAACCATGTTGATCCCTGCTGAACAGGGGACCTAAGGGCCCACAACATTAGCACGTCATCGCTCAAGTCACACTGAACCAAAAATCGCCTTTTACACCAACCCCAAAAAGAAGGCAGTGATCACTGGGGATCGCGGTACAGACGACGGTCTACGGGGTCAACAGCGGTAAGGCCTTGACGTTTGGCTTTCTTGGCACTCGTGAAACCAGGGTCATAGCGAATGCACCGTGTCTAGCGCGAAGGAACTTTATCAAGCAAAGTCGGCACTCAGCTCGCTTCTTTGTCGAAGCAGCTGCCAGGTCGTAGTCGGAGGCCAGCCATCGCAGTAAGCATGCTGATCTAGCCAAGTTACCACTTAGCTCAAATGCACTTAGCGACTTCCACAGCATCATAACCGCCTTTAGCTGTCAGTACGTATGATTCCCTTCGGGCAAATGACCAGATGCTCGATGGTGTCCAGGAGGCTCGATCTCGATCCAAACCACCAGCACCATGCAGCTCACTACACAGAAGACGTGCTCCAAAATACTCGAAATTGTCCTCGGCCTCCAACGCAGCTTGTACTTCTGCGTCGCTGCTTTTGGATTTCAGTTTCAGCTTCCAGGTCCGCCGCCAAGCAGGTTCATAGCACAAACCTGTCCTGACTCCCATTCAGGACCAGCAGAATCTCCCGTTGGACGATTGTTACGGGCTTGATCTCCCATGCTGATATCCACCAGTTGTGACCAGTGCTGCGCATTCACAAGCTTCTGGAAGCATATCGTTGAAAGGCTTCCGACGCAGCTCACATAGGACTTGTCTCTTGTCGTATCCAATCTTCAGGATCCATCACCAATTCGATGAAAAGCATCAACATGGCTGCCCATGGCGCCGACAGTACGAGAGTGTTCGTGGGGGCTGTGATCCACGCGGTCCTTTGACGTCCATCGCCACAAACATCTTTTGCCAAGCACGTCTTCGGCACCTAAATTGTCAAGGTCTTGTGCAGGTCCAACCATAGTCCTCTGGGTGCCGTGGCGCTACGGTAGATGTTCCACAGCATTTGCAGAATCGCTTCATCACCAACGCCCAACTCTTCACGAAGTTCTTGACTGCCTGTTGTGCACAGTTTCTGATCCAAGCTTTGAAGCTGCCATTGTGTAGTACAGGTTTCTCCCCAAGGAGCTTTGCACAGGGCTCGCCGTCTTGAGCGAGGGCTCCAGCAGACTAGGCCCAGGCTGTTGAGACCCCAAAAGCAGGATCCTTGCTTTCGCCTTGCGTGTCCCGCCATCCTTGGTGCGGACCGCCTGCTTATTGTGCACGGCGTCCTGTCAAGCTTCATGTTGATCCTGAACCAACTTCCATGTAAGAACCAAGCACACCTTTTTCAATGCGCTTCGTGTCGTATGCCTCGTGTAACTCCTTGTCGTTGAGACACTTCCGGCCTCAGGCCTCGTGTTTTGCCCTCCTTCGCCTCAGCTCGGGTGGGGTGAAGAGCTGCCGCTGTCCCGGTAACTTGGCTGGCACCGTGCGTTAGAATAATTCGTTTGCAACAGCATGTTTCGCTGCCTGTTCGACGCTGGTGGCTCCAAATCGAACCCCACCTTGAGGAACAAGTCGGTCTCCACTATGGCATCGTAGAGGTCGAACTTCTCTGAGTGGGCTGTCACCGTCATCGCAGTCGTTGGCAGATGTTTCGGCAGGCTTCTTCGTGGTAGTTCTTGCGTCAGACTCATCCTCTGCTAGAGAGGGTAGTGAGGACGAAGTAGCCGTCACCGAGGTTCTCTTCACGAGTCGTCTCGTCGGGATAGCCATTGTCGAAGGATCGGGTCGAGGAGTTCATGAAGTTCACGATCATCTTCTGTTGTCCCATGATCCGCAAGATCGGTGTACCCTTGCCGAGGAAGCATATCCGTAAGGCTGCGCTTCCTGTCCCGACGTCTCGTAAACAAACCGCTCCACGTCAGTCTGTTCTCACAGAGTGAACAACACATCGATAAGGTCGTGAGGGAATCAAAACCCAGACGGTATGTCCCCTGACATGACCTTAAGCGTTGAGGTGGGACTTCATGAAGCACCACTCGTCCCGGACCAATCCGCTGAGGACGACCAGACATCTGGAAGCCTCCACGGGGTCCTACACCCTAGACCCTAAAACCCTAAAACCTGAAAAAAGGCGTCTCCGATAGTGAGGCGCCCGAGCGAGCGGGGTTTGGAAACAGCGGGTGAGCATTGAACCGCGAAGGGACGCGTGTGGTTCGGAGTGTGACTACAGGGCTTCGAGACTCGGAAGCCACAGGCGAGCCGCACCAAGCTGCTCTCCAAGAAGCAGAAGCAGACGTCTGTGCAGGCACAAGAGGCGGGCAAGGCTTCATGACTCCCATTTACAAGGGCTTCTTCGGCTTTTTCTCGTGTCGCAGAGTTCTACTTGTCTTGTGCTAGCTGCCAGCACCAAGCAGGAAGCCTCGCAAGGGCTGAAGATCACCCTGAGCATGGCGCCAAGGACCGCCGAGTTCAAAAGAGCACGAGTTGAGACTTTCGGGGTGTCTTCCAACGTTGCGTGTCCGGCCTTCTTGGGCTTGGTCTTCGGCTTTCTTGGGTGCCTCTGCTCTGCTGGTATGTTTCTCCAGGACGGAGGAGCCTGTGGAGAAGGCTGGGCCAAATTCGCGAGCCCCTGCCAGGCCTCAGAAATCTCTGCGACGCACGTGCAGGAAGAAGTCGAGAAGCGGAAAAGAGACAGAGGCTCTGAAAAAGCAGGCTTGAAACCCAAGAAGGAGAGATGAGGCCGGATTCCTGAGGCATGGAGGATTGACATTGAAGCGTCACCAGTCGTTGCAGTTTCAAGGATTTAGAGTTGGCTGCTTGGAGCGGCCAGTTTTGTCAGGCGTTTCCGCGCTGCTCCTGCTAAAGCCGCTTCTTTGCGCTGCGACATGGCACGTGCCTGACGGCTTTCTTTGGTGCCTCATGGCCACGATCTGAGTGTTTGTAGGGCAGTGCTGTTGGCAATCAGTTTTGGATTGCGGCACCCACAAAGGGTGTAAGTAATTCACCGTCGAAACTCCTTGAATGACATGCCGAACATGTACAGGCCGGCATCACCTCTAGGATTTTGAAGCTGCTGATTGCGAAGCTCCTTGCACTATCTGCCGCTGCCGAAGGGCGGGTGGCTCCTGTACAATACATTTGCTGCCCCTCCTACCGGCTCGAGAACCGCGAGGACTGCCCTCGTCGGCTGGTCTGACGAGCAAGATGAGCACTTGCTGCGTAGCTGTTATGTGCTCCACGTCGAGGAAGTAAAGGACACCCTGTGCCCCTCCTACACACGCTAACCTCTGCACGGCGGCCGTCCTCGTCGCCTCCCTCTAAACTCCGTGGCCAAAGGCCGAGAACGCTCGAGCGCTTCGAGAAAAGTGTGCCGACGAAGCCCGAGCCAAGCTTGAGAGAGGGTGGTGACTCCAAGTTTCGAGTGTGAGGCTCGTGAAGGAATCCGAAGTGGTGCTGAGCAGTGGCACCTAGAGCTATGGCTTGTGACTCCTAGGTCCCAGGGAGGTGTCTTGACATGCGAAATGAGTGCAGGAGCCCTCTGCCGAAAGCCTGTTTAGCATCAGGCTTCTCTAAAGTGCATAGTGTACAGCTATTGCGTTTTTTATGTTCCGTTGTTAGATTTCTCTCTGGCCTTCAGAACTTCGAACCCGTTGTGTCTTTTTGTAGTGGATGTGCAGAAACTAGTCGGATGAAAGAAGCGCGGCATGCGCAGGGTTTTGGTCTATACTCATTGCCGCTTTCTCCACGTGAACTACATTGCAGGTTCTGAAATGGAGGGGAGCCTGCGCGGAAGACTCTGGCTGCTCGAAGGCGACAGCATTGGCTGGCGGCCAGCCATGTCGTAATGTCTTGGCTTACGTCGGATGGCCCCATGGGGGACATGAGGCCAGTCCTGTTCGGAATGCTGCATGTTCTGCATTATCGAGTGCATTCAACCGCTCGAAAACAATCAACATAGGCGTCGCGGCACTTTCAAAGCAAACGGTGGAACGTGTCCGCTCATTCTGAGGCGATGTGTAGGAGAGCGCACCAGCTTGAACAACAGAAGAAATGCGTGAAGTCCTCCTGGGCCTTCTCTGAGCATATTCACTGTACCTTGACGAGCGTGTGCTTCCTATGCTTGGGTCGAGCCTCAATTTGGCTGTAACCGTAGCTTTGCTGCTTCCCCTCGGCTTTGCTTCCACCCGCCATGGAGTTCACATTTGTCGTCCCGATCGGCCAGGATCGCACATGCTCCGTGCAGTAGTTGTGTGTGCTCTTGTTGTGCTTTTGGCTTGCCAGGGCAACTACGCATCCTTCGTTCACGGGCACGGGGCAGGCCGGTTCTCTCTATTTTCTCGCTTTGCCACTCCGTCTAAGTCGTTTCAGGTGCTTGCGAGGGAGCTCGAATTGAGCAGTTGTATACCCATTACTGCGCAGGTCCGCGTCGATTCTCGATTTTTCTGCAAATGGCGGCATGGGGCAAGCGACCCTATGGCCTTCAATGCCGAAATGCAGTTGGATGTCAATGTGAGGGAGAAGAAATTCTTCGAATGTCTCTTGGCCTTCAGTGAGCTTGATTGACAGCGACCAGGTCTGTTTACCCCTCGCTTTTCAATCCCAGGCCGCTGGTGGTGCACGAGAATGGCGAGGGCGGGCAGAGCCAATTTCGCAGAGAGTGATGTCAACGATATCGTCAGTGCAAACCTTCGAGATTTGTTTGCACTGCCGGGACGTGGATGCATCTTTGCGCCGGTCCGCGCACTATGTTATTGGGGTTCATGAGGTCGACAGCCAGCATTTTGTTCAGCAGCTGATTGCAGAAGCCATGCTGGGATTGATGGAGAACCTGCTGGCAGAGCCTGTCGAACTAAGCGATGATATTTCATCTCGGGCAGTGCAGTGCTCAAGCCATCTTCCATGGGTTGTGCGCGCACTGACGAAGCCTCAGCGCCAGAAGTGGGTATCCTTGCTGGTCAGACTCCTACAGGGTCAGAGGTCCTACCATTACCAAAAGACCGTGATGGAGCACCTGGAGCTCCTATGGAGGGCTGATGACGATCCCCGACGAAGCTACACAGAAGCAGATCAGCAGCTACTGACTTTATCACGACGTTCCAGCGACCACGTGATGCGCGAGATTCGCAGACTCCGCCTGTACTGAAGGCCGCGCCGGAGTAAAACAGCTCGGGCGTGCGGCACAGTCTAAAGGGCTGCTACTGGTAGCTAGTTAGGTTTCGGATGTTAACCAGGTTCCGATATTGAAGTAGTCTTAGTTTGTCCGACGCAGAATTCGATTGAAGTTCAGACTTCGAATCCCGGGTATCAGGTATGGACTGGGTATGGAAGGCCGTCGATAGTAGGTAGAGCAGGGTGATTCTGGACTCCAATTATGGCACCCTCCCTACACCCTACATCCCCAGACTCCAAGTCGAACCTTCGAAGAATACCTGACATTGCTTGCAAACAACCCCATGGCTTGGAAACCCCATAAGTCACTTATTATCAACCCCGCCAAGCACCCTATAAAACCGTACGCAATTCCCTTGACCCTCCAGCGTGACTACTGAATCTTGCAGCTTCCGAAGATTTTCGGGCTCACTGATCCAGTTCGTGAGGAGAAAGGTATCTGCCACTCGTCGGCAATTTGACGCAGCTGCTGTCTCGCCCTTGCTCAACTGCCCCCTGAGTGCAGGTCACGATGCCCAGTTTCACGGACAAGGAGATAGCGCCTCGGTGCATCAATGCCCAAACCATGCCCGAGCAGCCCCGTCTGAATCCCCAAGGAGGTCGAAACGGCGTCATCCTTGCGCAAGGAGGTCGGCACGCTGCGGCTCGACTGCAAGGCTCAAGGAAAGATGCCACCTGCACGAATGAGTCTCTGATGATCGGACATGATCGGACTGTGGACTGTGAGCACGACCTAAGTCCTTGAGATGTAGCCGCATGCTACAAATACGGCCTGCAACCTCCCCCAGGTTGGCACAGCTCGCCTCGCTGCAAGAAGCTCTCTTCAAATCAGAGGTCGGCAGGGTCTTTTTCCAGGTTGGAAGCAGAAACCGAAGGCAGATACACGTCTTTAGAAGCAGCGAGAGAGCGGGTCTTCCGGGATATCTTGGCCTTCGTTCACGGGCACGGGGCAGGCCGGTTCTCTCCTCTCGCTTTGCCACTCCATCTGAGCCGTTTCAGGTGCCTTCGAGGCAGCTTGAACTGAGCAAGAAGAATCTGGCCGCAGCCGCGGGCTAAATCGGATCAGGGAAGCATGAGGAGTTCGCACTGCTATCGCTCGGCAAGCGTCCCAGGTTGAGGAAGCCGCCACTTTCCTCAGTGACCAGCCTCTCGACTGCAAGCAGGGTCGGCATGCGAAGGAACCTCCAAACATCCAGCTGCACGACAGAGCCGCCAACACCTGCAGGCTTGCGAATATCGCCGACCTTTTCGACTCTCTGCGCCGCGCAGAGGCCGGCATTTCTTTTCCTGGGCGCTGACGCTTCGTTTTCTTCTAGGTCTCACCACACTTCAAGGGGCTCTTGAAACCATGGTCCATACTCTCCCAATAGTCTAAGCCCTAACCGTAACCAGGCTTCTGCCCAACTCCCTACAGATCGATGTCCCGTTAGAGCCCTTCCAGGGAGCAAAATGCCGTCATACTGCCTTTCAGCTTCCACTGGATGGTTGAGCTACCGTGGAATCTCAGAATGCCAACCTCAGGGCTATGCTGCGAATACCATAAGTTGGATGCCAGATGTCATTCCACTACAAAGGACTGCTGGAGCTCCTTTTAAAATCTTAGGAACAACTCGACACATGCTGCAACAGTTGTCAGACTGCTGTCGGAATCTTTGCGGAAGGCTGTTGAACATGCTCGTAACGTACTTATCATGCTCTCAGAGTGCGCCCGAATCGCTGTCACTTTCTTGCTGTTGCCCCAGCATCCCACATTTAGGAAAGAACGTGCCCACCCTCACATGACACAACATAATGCAAGACATGTAGATGTTTTGCGCACACTCAATGTGCGCAAAGAACGATGATGCTGGTGAGTGTCTTGACCAGGTGTGGCTATATGCATGACATTATGCAAGAAAGCTTTGAATATCGTGCAGCATGAGCGGAAGGGCTGGGGGGGATGGGTGGGAGTCATGAACCGCCAGCATCGAAACCCTGGGCTGCCTTGCCCAAGAACTGATTGAAAAACCTGTGGAGCAGCCGAAGATCTTGGCAGTTGTCGTAGAACTTGTTAGAAGACCTTGGAGTGAAAAACCGGGTTCTCCTTAAAGCTTACGTAGTTGTCCCCGTAATGCTGAGAGGATAATCGTGTTTTTGTGAGAGTGTCTTCATTTGCAAGCCATTGCAACGAGATTCTACAGGGAAGGGTTCTTGTGAGTTGAAATCAGGTTGAACATTCTCACACGCCAGGTCGTGCTTTCTTCTCGAACGAGTTTCGGCGCATGCGAGAGCATTGCTGATCGGAAAATCAAGGGTCATCACCAGCATGTCCAATTGCGAACAGGAGTCCGATAGGATACAGCCCGTGTGCTTTATACAAGCATGCATGTAATTGAGTTCAGGGTCATATAACGGCTGCATTTGCGAAACAACGGGTCCCGAACGCGTAGAACATGTTTTGATGAAAGCTGGTCAGTGCACGGCACTCGCAGCGATGTAATTTTGGAAGGCTCGCATATCAGGTTTCGTACGCATGACCCTGGACGAGAGAGCTCGGGTGGGGATGTAAACTGGGGCCTATGTATGCCGGGGAGAGGGAGGGGCAGAAAGCCCAAAAACCTTGCTAGATCCAACCCGAATTCCCACGGATCTTGGAGTATCAGAAGCAACTTTCCCAAAATGTCTGATTGAGAAAGAGTATCAGCCGATTTTGATCTTCGTCAAAGCTTTGATGCCAAGACTGCTTAACAAGCACGTAAGATCAAAGCAAAACGATGATCAAACCTTTGGCTGAGACAGCGGGGTCGCGCAATTCTTATGCCTTATGCATACTTTCTACGGAAAGATGGCCTTTTCCGCACGGTATCATGTCTTCAACAAAATGAAGACCCCATGAGGAATCCAAAGGTCATCCCGCAATAGACCGCATCTGACTCGTTGCATCCCAAGCGTAGGAAAGGGTGAGTTCTGCGGAGTGCGGAATTCGCAGCTAATGCCACTGGCAAAAGGCTTAAAGACCATGCATGTGGCTCCAGACAGGCTCAGCTGAGGCTAGATGCCCTGCTGCAAGCATTCGGCTCAAAGTCGTTGTGACACCAGCGGCCGAACTTCGAAACAGGCTTAGGGGAAGGTTGCTTGTGATTACCTTGTTTCATTTGGGCTGCGGGTTTCGGAGCTTTGGAAGGGCATGACCACGTGCGGCTATGTGATGGGGTATTGTGGGTTCCCAAGTTGATACGAAACTTTGGCTTATCGAGCATTGAGAGTGTGCTGCTGTGGTGCTGCCGTGCTGGGCAGGTGCGATTGCACATCAACACAGCAGGAATTCAATGAGAATGATGATCATAGCAATTCTCGCTGCGCTGGCTCAAGAGCCTTTCAGAGTTCAGAGTGGAGCGCGGCTGCGAAGTGTCTTGCCAGGTGGCGACCCCTGCGAGCAGGATGCGCAACAGGTGCAGGCCGGTGCTGTTGGCTGCAGCCTCCTCAAAGTAGCTCCTCCATGTTGACGTCAACAAGGGATGTGCATAGTTGTAGGTTCATAGATGACTGGATATTGTCGGTGCCTACCTCTGATACAGAACGAGCATGGCAGAGCATAGAGCTCCTCACATAGCAGCACAGCGCCTTGTCTTAGCTGTCAGTTCTTCGATGTTGTGCGAAGCTGTGCCTGGGCGTCTCGAGGTCCTGCTTTTCAATCGGCGGCGTGCAGCTGTCGAGTCGAAGGTGCAACTCTCAAGCGTGTGTTGGGCTTGGTGTAGAGTGCAGGCTTGGAGGCATGGTGCTAAGCCTTACAGGTCTGCAGGCACCTTCTGACCCTGCTAAGAGGCTCTATTTGTGGAGCCCAAGGCCAGCCCGTGCCAAGATACAGGCCCTTGTGTCTGCCTCTGCAAAGCCCAGGTCGAGGGCTACTTCCTTCAGTCGGTGGAGAAGGCCGCGACTGATCCTGATGGCACCGCCCTCGTGAAGCATCTTTGAGGAGATCGTAGGAGATCGGTTTTGATCTGAGGATGTAGTCAAGTTTGCACCCAGATCCAGATGCTGTCGCCACCTTTCTCATCGATGATTCCTTCTACATTCTGCAAGTGCCCAAGTCAGCCTTCTTTTCGCTTTCAAAGATATCACTTTGTGACTCCTGGTCCAGTCCAGTGTATTCTCGCCGTGCATCACCGACCACATGTTTTTCAGACAGGAACCAATGACGAGCAATGATGAGGTCCATCGCAAGTTGTGAGGGCCTGAGGTACCGGTCACTTGCCCGCAGTATGCTATCAGATGTTTGTCGCAAGACCTCGGTACGTGCTGTTCCCTTTTTGCGCGTGTTCTTGAACACGAGGCAGAGCTCTCCCCTCGTGCATAACGGTGGAGCTTCGTGAGGCACAGGATGCGTTCGTGCTGTTCCGCTCGCGTTTGATGCAACGCCCACACGTTGCATGTGCCAGGTTCAGCTTTCCTCTGGGAGCAGACGCGTAGTGCTGCCTTTGCCACAGTGCCCAGTGCATGCATGCGCATGCTATTCATGGCACTGTCGTGCCGATGTGAAGTCGTGTTACTATAGGCAGGGCTCGAAAATTCAGACGGCATCTTCGAAACGAGTTGCTCGCACTCGCCGTCGCCGTCGGAAGCCCAAAAAAACGCAGATGAGTTCGGTGTTTCAGTCAGCGGCCTTAGTACCCAGGATTGCGCCTTCCTGGCACAGATGACTTAGACAGGAGCTGCTGCTGCTAATGTTGAGGCAGGGCTCGGAAAGGCAATCGTAACACCGCTCTGCACTCACACGCGCTGAGGCGCTCGATGCTTTGCGTTTTTTCACACTGCGCGCTCACAGAGTCCGATGGCTCAGGTTGAACCATGTTGATCCCTGCTGAACAGGGGACCTGAGGGCCCACAACATTAGCACGTCATCGCTCAAGTCACACTGAACCAAAAATCGCCTTTTACACCAACCCCAAAAAGAAGGCAGTGATCACTGGGGATCGCGGTACAGACGACGGTCTACGGGGTCAACAGCGGTAAGGCCTTGACGTTTGGCTTTCTTGGCACTCGTGAAACCAGGGTCATAGCGAATGCACCGTGTCTAGCGCGAAGGAACTTTATCAAGCAAAGTCGGCACTCAGCTCGCTTCTTTGTCGAAGCAGCTGCCAGGTCGTAGTCGGAGGCCAGCCATCGCAGTAAGCATGCTGATCTAGCCAAGTTACCACTTAGCTCAAATGCACTTAGCGACTTCCACAGCATCATAACCGCCTTTAGCTGTCAGTACGTATGATTCCCTTCGGGCAAATGACCAGATGCTCGATGGTGTCCAGGAGGCTCGATCTCGATCCAAACCACCAGCACCATGCAGCTCACTACACAGAAGACGTGCTCCAAAATACTCGAAATTGTCCTCGGCCTCCAACGCAGCTTGTACTTCTGCGTCGCTGCTTTTGGATTTCAGTTTCAGCTTCCAGGTCCGCCGCCAAGCAGGTTCATAGCACAAACCTGTCCTGACTCCCATTCAGGACCAGCAGAATCTCCCGTTGGACGATTGTTACGGGCTTGATCTCCCATGCTGATATCCACCAGTTGTGACCAGTGCTGCGCATTCACAAGCTTCTGGAAGCATATCGTTGAAAGGCTTCCGACGCAGCTCACATAGGACTTGTCTCTTGTCGTATCCAATCTTCAGGATCCATCACCAATTCGATGAAAAGCATCAACATGGCCGCCCATGGCGCCGACAGTACGAGAGTGTTCGTGGTGGCTGTGATCCACGCGGTCCTTTGACGTCCATCGCCACAAACATCTTTTGCCAAGCACGTCTTCGGCACCTAAATTGTCAAGGTCTTGTGCAGGTCCAACCATAGTCCTCTGGGTGCCGTGGCGCTACGGTAGATGTTCCACAGCATTTGCAGAATCGCTTCATCACCAACGCCCAACTCTTCACGAAGTTCTTGACTGCCTGTTGTGCACAGTTTCTGATCCACAGCTTTGAAGCTGCCATTGTGTAGTACAGGTTTCTCCCCAAGGAGCTTTGCACAGGGCTCGCCGTCTTGAGCGAGGGCTCCAGCAGACTAGGCCCAGGCTGTTGAGACCCCAAAAGCAGGATCCTTGCTTTCGCCTTGCGTGTCCCGCCATCCTTGGTGCGGACCGCCTGCTTATTGTGCACGGCGTCCTGTCAAGCTTCATGTTGATCCTGAACCAACTTCCATGTAAGAACCAAGCACACCTTTTTCAATGCGCTTCGTGTCGTATGCCTCGTGTAACTCCTTGTCGTTGAGACACTTCCGGCCTCAGGCCTCGTGTTTTGCCCTCCTTCGCCTCAGCTCGGGCGGGGTGAAGAGCTGCCGCTGTCCCGGTAACTTGGCTGGCACCGTGCGTTAGAATCTTTCGTTTGCAACAGCATGTTTCGCTGCCTGTTCGACGCTGGTGGCTCCAAATCGAACCCCACCTTGAGGAACAAGTCGGTCTCCACTATGGCATCGTAGAGGTCGAACTTCTCTGAGTGGGCTGTCACCGTCATCGCAGTCGTTGGCAGATGTTTCGGCAGGCTTCTTCGTGGTAGTTCTTGCGTCAGACTCATCCTCTGCTAGAGAGGGTAGTGAGGACGAAGTAGCCGTCACCGAGGTTCTCTTCACGAGTCGTCTCGTCGGGATAGCCATTGTCGAAGGATCGGGTCGAGGAGTTCATGAAGTTCACGATCATTTTCTGTTGTCCCATGATCCGCAAGATCGGTGTACTCTTGCCGAGGAAGCATATCCGTAAGGCTGCGCTTCCTGTCCCGACGTCTCGTAAACAAACCGCTCCACGTCAGTCTGTTCTCACAGAGTGAACAACACATCGATAAGGTCGTGAGGGAATCAAAACCCAGACGGTATGTCCCCTGACATGACCTTAAGCGTTGAGGTGGGACTTCATGAAGCACCACTCGTCCCGGACCAATCCGCTGAGGACGACCAGACATCTGGAAGCCTCCACGGGGTCCTACACCCTAGACCCTAAAACCCTAAAACCTGAAAAAAGGCGTCTCCGATAGTGAGGCGCCCGAGCGAGCGGGGTTTGGAAACAGCGGGTGAGCATTGAACCGCGAAGGGACGCGTGTGGTTCGGAGTGTGACTACAGGGCTTCGAGACTCGAAAGCCACAGGCGAGCCGCACCAAGCTGCTCTCCAAGAAGCAGAAGCAGACGTCTGTGCAGGCACAAGAGGCGGGCAAGGCTTCATGACTCCCATTTACAAGGGCTTCTTCGGCTTTTTCTCGTGTCGCAGAGTTCTACTTGTCTTGTGCTAGCTGCCAGCACCAAGCAGGAAGCCTCGCAAGGGCTGAAGATCACCCTGAGCATGGCGCCAAGGACCGCCGAGTTCAAAAGAGCACGAGTTGAGACTTTCGGGGTGTCTTCCAACGTTGCGTGTCCGGCCTTCTTGGGCTTGGTCTTCGGCTTTCTTGGGTGCCTCTGCTCTGCTGGTATGTTTCTCCAGGACGGAGGAGCCTGTGGAGAAGGCTGGGCCAAATTCGCGAGCCCCTGCCAGGCCTCAGAAATCTCTGCGACGCACGTGCAGGAAGAAGTCGAGAAGCGGGAAAGAGACAGAGGCTCTGAAAAAGCAGGCTTGAAACCCAAGAAGGAGAGATGAGGCCGGATTCCTGAGGCATGGAGGATTGACATTGAAGCGTCACCAGTCGTTGCAGTTTCAGGGATTTAGAGTTGGCTGCTTGGAGCGGTCAAGCTTTGCCAGGCGTTTCCGCGCTGCTCCTGCTAAAGCCGCTTCTTTGCGCTGCGACATGGCGCGTGCCTGACGGCTTTCTTTGGTGCTTCATGGCCACGATCTGAGTGTTTGTACGGCAGTGCTGCTGGCAATCAGTTTTGGATTGCGGCACCCACAAAGGGTGTAAGTAATTCACCGTCGAAACTCCTGGAATGACATGCCGAAAATGTACAGGCCGGCATCACCTCTAGGATTTTGAAGCTGCTGATTGCAAAGCTCCTTGCACTATCTGCCGCTGCCGAAGGGCGGGTGGATCCTGTAAAATACATGTGCTGCCCCTCCTACCGGCACGAGAACCGCGAGGACTGCCTTCGTCGACTCGCGCGATGAGTACCTGATGCGTAGTGGTGTAGCTGTTATGTGCTGCACTTCGAGGAAGTAAGGACACCCTGTGCCCCTCCTACACACGCTAACCTCTGCACGGCGGCCGTCCTCGTCGCCTCCCTCTAAACTCCGTGGCCAAAGGCCGAGAACGCTCGAGCGCTTCGAGAAAAGTGTGCCGACGAAGCCCGGGCCAAGCTTGAGACAGGGCGGTGACTCCAAGTTTCGAGTGTGAGGCTCGTGGAGAAATCCGAGAGTGGTGCTAAGCAGTGGCACCTAGAGCTATGGCTTGCGACTCCTAGGTCCTACGGAGGTGACTTGACATGCGAAAGGAGTGCAGGAGCCCTCTGCCGAAAGCTTTTTGAGCGTCAGGCTTCTCTAAACTGTATAGTGTACAGTTACTGCGTGTTTTATATTCCGTTGTTAGATTTCTCTCTGCCCCCTTCAGAATGTCGAAACCCTTGTATCTCTTTGTAGTGGATGTGCAGAGACTAATCGGATAAATGAAGCTGCGGCATGCGCAGGGTTAAGGCGTCGCGGCACTTTCAAAGCAAAAGGTGGAACACGCCCGCTCATTCTGAGGAGATGTGCAGGAGCTTGGACAACAGAAGAAACGCGTGAAGTCCTCCTGGGCCTTCTCTGCGCATCTACACGAGCGCGTGCTTCCTATGCTTGGGTCGAGCCATCATCGGTGGCTTGCATGCGGCCAAGGGTGATGACTGCCGAGTTTTCCATGGTTACAAGTGTTGAAGCAACAGAAAGAGGCACACACTACCAGCTAGACCAAACAGGGGGAAACAACCGCGACCTTTGTTGACACCAAAGCCTCTTCTACTGCATGAACCGGGAATGGGACGCCATGGGCGGCTTGGCGCGCGGTCCGCAACGCAGGCTCTTCCCTTGCGTAAGGAAGGACAAGAAGGAGCAGAGAGAGAGAGAGAGAGACAGAGAGACTGAGAGTGAGAGTGTGAGGGAGTTTGTGTACGACACACGCGAACAGTACAGGAGACCCAAGTCCGCGAGATGTAGCTGCATGCTACGGCTGCCAACCTCCCGCCAGGCGGGCAAACGGGGCGGCACTGCTGGCCGCGTGTTGGCAGTCCCAGGCCGGCAGGGTCTTATTCCAGCTTCCAAGCAGCA